CCATGAGTTTTTGATAAACGTTTTTAAATTTTTTTCCACATCAGGGCCAAAAGACTTTTATTTAATAATTTATTCAGCAGATATCTTATCATTATCATAAACAGACCAAACGTTAGAAGAAAGTTTTTTCAATCAGGTGTCTGTGTGGAGTTAAAAGGTTGTTGTTCTTAAACAGAGTTTGCTCAATTTTATATTTGTTACTGTTTTAAAACCATTCAAAGACTTGTAATCAAAAGACAATTTGTTAACATTTTTAAAACAATTCATTAACATTTAAAAATTTTTGTTTAAAACATAGCTTTGGATTTTCTTTAATACTGAATTTTTAAAATATCAGGAAACATATAAAAATCCTATAAATTAAATTAAAAATCTCAATAAAATATCATTATAGTTAGAATTTCCTCTTAAACAGCTTTTATTAAGCCATGAATCGGCCTCAAAAAACATAAAAATAGTGAATTATGTCAATTAAATAACTTAATTTAATTTTCTAAGTTAAAAAATAAAAAATAAATCTTAGAACATTTATTCTTACCCTGAAATAACAATTTGTAAAATTATGAACATTAAAATAAAAGCTATTGTTTTAATTAGCGACGAAGAAGGAAAATGGCATAATATCGCTAAGTTTGAGGAAATAAACAATAGTTTACATAGCTTTTAGATTATTTTTACTTTACATAGCTTATTTTTTAATAAATATGATATTTTACTAAAAATATCATATTTATTAAAAACTATAATAAATATTTAAACTCATAAGAAATTTTTAGACAGGATTCCGTAGCTTCATGTAAAATATATAAGTTATTCATTTTGGGTACAAAGAATGTTTTTAAAATTATATCCAAATTAATAATATGATCCATATTTGTTTCCATTGAGGATACAGTGAATAGAATAATTTTGCATAGAGGTAATAATTCTCTAATCAGAATAAAGATAATAATTTTAACAATAATTTGCAAGTACCAATATATGAAGAGAATTAATCTCTCGCAGTAAACTCGCTTTTGTGTTCGAACATCAGTATATTAGCTTAAATCATAATAATAACTTCCATTTAATGACAACATACTACATTTAATTGTGCTACAAAAGAAATACGTATGGATAGATTGTGTCATAGCCATAGCTAATTATATTTTGTGGAAATATTTATTCAACAGAATCATTGCTAGTATGAGACTTCCGTGCGACTATTTAATTTACGTTGTAGAGACATTAGGTATTTTTTGGAAGCAGTATAATTGAAAAATTAACAAACGTCTTCGCCGGGAATCGAACCACAGAACTCTGGAATACCGACTCAGCGTTGCAGAGCCACTACACCACGAAGGCACGCTAGGAAAGCAGAAGAAATACCTTATAACGTTAATAATTTAATTTACGTTTTAGTGTGCAATGTTAGAAAACTGTAATTTATTAAACCCAAGGGAGACAAATTGCATTTCATCTGCAGATGTATAAGCAATACAAGTCGGTATAAGCAAGACTGTCATCTGTCTTTCACTAATACGGCCTTCCGTTTAATACGACCTGGTCAGCTGGGGGAAAAATACGGCAAAAAATCACAAACTTTTGCACGAGCAAAGAGCTTTTGCGCTTTATTGTTGACTTGGATTCTACAGGTTGTCTCTAAGGACGTTGTTGCCAAACTTAGCATACTGGTATGTCATGCCATGATAAACAAGATTTCGCGAAAATGCGAATGGCGACCGCTAGAGGGCAATGTTGGCAGGTGTATGGGCAGTAGGAAGTGTAATCATTTCAGGCGAGAGGTTGCAAGAGAAGGATGAATCAGTTTACTAACTCAATTCTTTATGGACATTTTGTGGAAAGAGAGTGTTACCGAATCTCATAGTTGACGTTCCAGCAACTGTACGCCGAAGCATATGGTTTCAGCATGATGGGGTGCCTGCACATTTTAGCAGCCCTTTGCGGGAATACCTCTAGGATATATCCTAATCGCAGGATTAGCAGAGGCGAACCAGTGGCGTGGCCAACGCCACCTCCCGTCCTGCCTTTTCTGGATTTCTACCTTGGGGATACGTGAAGATCATGGTGTACGAGACGACCGTAACATGGACCATAACATGGATCTCGTCACTAGGATCTTGGAAGCGGCAGCACGTGTCCATGACACACCTGCCCATTTTGAACGGGTCCGCGAATCCATCCGTAGAAGTTGTGAAACATCCATTGTGGTGAATGGAAGGAATTTGGAATATCTTCTATGATTTAACCGGGAGGTGTTAACATGACTATTTATCTTTTCCTTCTCCTCTACGCTTGCGAACATTGCCCTGTAACTATGGCCGTTCGCATTTTCGGACATAAGTTCTATTAGGGTGAAGTAGTACACTACATTCAGCAGCCTGCATCTGCTCAGTTCAATCAGTTTGTTGTATTTGCTGATGTTGTTATTACCAAGTTGTATTTGCTGATGAGTTGACGTTTTGTTTGTTTACTATTTCTGTGGTAGTAATCTGATTACAGTTACAGTATTTTTACCTTGAATATACGTATCCTGTTCTTTGATGCGTTGTTAGGGCAATGACAGAAGGAGATTGAAAAAGAAACCGAAAGGAGATAGGAAAAGGGTGTTCCGAGCGAATGATAACTAATGTTATGAACAAAGAAAAACAATGAAAAAATGCAAGTACAGAAATTAGCGAAGCTTTGTTTCTTTGGTTTACTAAACACAAAAACAAAGGTGTCTCAATATCTAAAAGAAACTTAAAAGAAAACGCCTTGAAATTCCGAAAAGAAATTTATGAGTGTGACCCTATAGCTAGGGATGGGTTGTTCCATATGTGAAAAAACTATAGCTAGGGATGGGTTGTTCCATATGTACCTATAGCTAGGGATAGGTTGTTCCATATGCTAGGGATGGGTTGTTCCATATGCTAGGGATGGGTTGTTCCATATGTGGGTTGTTCCATATGTAAAGAAAATTTCATCAAATGATGAGTCTCTGAAAAGCTTGAGTGATAAATTTCATAAGTTGCTAGACGAGGAAAACAAATGCTACAAGCGAAGTGAAGATCGAGTAACGATCTTTGCCACAGCAAAGCTTAAAATGAAATTTACTTGGAAAATTTAGAAACCTTTGCAGCTTTTCAGAATGCACCAAAAGTGTTTGTCCAGTCAGATATTTTAATTAGTGCTAGGATCAGTCCAATTACTTTTAAAGAATGGTTTTTTAAAGACTTTGGGCCACAGACTTGCAAGCTTTTAAGAATAATTTTCCCAAAAATGCGCAGTTGCTTTTGGATAATGCTCCTTCTTAGCTGAAGGTAGATTTTCAAGATGGAGAAATAAATGCCATGCTTTTACCTCATATATCACGGCAGTTTGTCAGGCCATGGATAAAAAAGGTTTTGAAAATTTTAAAAAGAAATTATCACAAGAATCTTTTCGAACTTTGATTCCATTAATCGACGAGAAGATATAATTGAGTGTCTGCCAAGCGTGAACTTAAAGGACGCTGCCTATTACGTTTCTCAGTTGTGGGAATCAGTCATCTGAACAGTTTCAAAAATCTTGGAAAGGTTTATTAAATGAAGGTGATGGACAGGAAAAGAATCTTCAGAAATCCAGTAACTTGAGAAGGCTAATCGGAAAGACATGCTGTCTAAGCTAAAAAAAAGTGCTTGTATGTGATGAAGCAAGAATGGAAAACTTGAGCGAATGGTTATCTCAAGATGAGGAATATAAAGTGACAGACGAAGAAATCCTTAATGTGGCTCAGAATGAGAGAGGTACAAAATGTATATGAGATGAAGTAGTGATTGCAGATAGCGGGGACAGGATTTCTCACACCGGAGGACATAAAGCCCTGAAATAGCATTGAAATGTGGGTAGGAATTGGAGAAAACGTCATCAATGGAGGTTTCACTTCTGCAGAGACTAGAAGATCTAGCAGAGAGAAAACGTCAAACAGCTGGCAAACAAAACTCAATTACCAACTTTTTTTCATCAGGTTTCATTGTTCTTTGTGGTACATACAGTATGACCTTACATTTTTTCGAGTTACTAGTATGTAATATTTGAAATAATGAATGCATCTTGCTTGCTACTTTTCCTCCATCCGACCTTCCGATCACCCTACCAAGTAATCGTTACTTTATTGTATGTCTGAAAAGCTGTGGCAGATTTTGAGATATATTGCTTACTCATCCGCGTATGAAGTACAGTTTATCTTCCACAATTACTGAATTTTCTTCATACTGAAGAAAAGAAATATGTTTGGTTACCATAGATTTTAAAATAAACAAATATAGTGCACCTTTCCATGGCAACCCATTCCCTAAGACGATCATCTTGTGAAATGTCTCAGGGATGTTTTTGGAATAAATCATCCGGCATATAGTGTCTTACAGAATATTTTTGATAGCTTGAATAAATATTGGTATCGAACATCATTTCTTTAATGGAACCAACCCTCAGAAGATCGAAATTATCTGGAACCCGCGGTGGCCGTTTCAAGTAGAAAGGGTAAACAATAACGTAAGCAGTGTTTTCTCATTCAGCATTCTATTAGACTTCATAATTGTATTGTTCTCAGTAGTGCTCGGCTTAAGAACATACATAAATTGCGAATAAATAAATTAGCATAATTTATTAACTGAAGGAAAAAAAATCTTCTTTCCTAATTTTGAAAAATCGTTAAAAATATAATGAATTAAATGTCCTTGAAATTACCCAATATTGAAATTCCAAAATGTAGTTTCATTTAATTACTTTATTCCCAGTTTATGATATTTAATTGTTTATAGTCATCTTATGTCTTACTAAAGAAGAAAGACCAAACCTATCAAAATAAAATTTTAAATTTTAGAAGCAGAGTGGGCAACTGAAATTGCCCAGTTATTTCTTTAACATCATAGATATGGAAAAAGTAATATATTCAGTAATAATAATAAAGTAATTCAGAATTTCAAAACGGAGAATATTTTACAGCAGCGGAGAAAATTATGGTTAGTGCTACTTACCAAGCGGGGCCGGATATGGAACAGCCCCCATAACCTGAGCAATCAGGAACACAACAACGGTTGCAAGAAGCAAATATTTCATGATTTTCGTTTAGCGATGAATCTGAAATGAAAGAAACACAATTTTAATTGACAACATATAGCGACACAAATAGAATTACCCGTTAAGGAATTTATTTAAGATTTTTAGAAAGATGCAGGTTTCAAGGAGCTATGTTCACCAAAATCATGCAAGTTAATTAGCGTCTGGACCAACAAGAAGCAAATAACGGTTATAAAACATAATTTGATAACGTACAATAAATTAGCAACACAGCTCCCTTTTTTTTTTCCTTACAGGAAGCAAAAGTAGACAAGCAATTTAAGCTTTGTTTTCAGCTTAATCTGCTTCTGAACTTTTGCTTCGTAAGCTAAATTAATCCAGGAAGGAAAAATGGGCGTTGGAGGAAGAATTCTGACTTAACCAACAAAAATAAGACTGCAAAAGAAAATAATAGTTGTTAGCATATATTTTATCATTTGTTATGGTCTTTAATTGTGGGGTCCTCTTATCATTATCCCCCCCGAGGCAACTTTCGACGTTCTTGCTAGGACTTGTACCTAAACAGGCTCAACTTCTGGGGTAAATAATCTGTCTTCACAGTGACTAGAACCATTCGATGGTAGATGCAGGCTCGGTAGTGACCATACTGGTTCTGTCTTGTCTGCCCCTTCGTTGTGGGGACGTAACATAGCTTAATATCGAAGTTTACGGACTACGTTGTGGTATTATATACTTTATTGGTGGATACTAGCCATCTAATCCTTGACTCGAGAAACGTATTTCCAGACTGTGAGTATCATGTAAGTCAACGTGGGTTGACCGGGGGTTATCCCTCCTTGGATCGCCTCCAGGGGTTCAGGCGTTTAACTGTGTTAACCTCTAAGGTTTGTGGCGCTTAACCATGGCAATTATTAAGCCAGGGTTGGGAGCCTTTTTTTCCTAGCGCACTACCATGGTTATCTTAGCCTTGTGGAGACATTTGGTATTTTTTGAAAGATGAAAATTGAGCAAACGCCTTCGCCGGGAATCGAACCACGGACCTCTGGAAGACCACCCAGTGTGCAGAACAACTACACCACGAAGGCGCGCTAGGAAGGAGGGAGAAATACCTTATATACTCCCCCTTTTAAATGGCGACTGAGCTTTATTTTAAATCGCCAAATCCTGAGTGCGGAGAATCATCATCCAACACCCTTTTAGCTCGGGTGCCATTGCAGAGACATTAGGTATTTTCTGGAAGCAGGCAAGATGAAAAATGAGCAATCGCCTTCGCCGGGAATCGAATCACGGACCTCTGGAATACCGGCCAAGCGTGCAGAACCATTATACCACGAATGCACGCTAGGAAGGCGGGAGAACTACCTTATAGCCTAATTATACATCAGGGGTACCTCTGCGTTGGCTTGCTTTTAACATATAGTTTCTCAGATGAGATGTAACAAATATTTGATACTCATTGTTTCCATTTAAACAGCTTATTTTTTTTTCTTTTTAAAGCTGGCAATATGAAAAAGATACAGTCAAGGGTATTTGATGGTTTGGTTGAAAATGTTATTTTGATTATGAGTACGTTAGTTATAACCACAGAAAAATAGAGAAATTGACATGGATAATTTCTACTTTAAGGTTCTTGTTATAAAATAAAAGTCGTCTATGTATTTATTTCTAAAGCAAGAAAATAATTTGTTAGTTTTAGAATCACTTGTTAATGCAATGCATAAACATTCTAAGGATGATCCAAGACAGAACATTTACTATGATGCAATTGAAGTCACTGTTGAAACAGCCATTTAATTCTTGGCATTTTTGCTTAAAAGCTAAAATCAGACATTTCTTAAATGTCAAAGAAATAATTTAAAATTCAATAATGCTCCTTTCACACCTTTGTCTTTCAACAAAAATTTAGTTGAAAGATGGTACCACATTCACTTTAGTTTTATTTTAAGAGAATGACAAAGGAATATTTTTTGTTTTGTTTTTGTTCTTTGAACATCGAAAATAAAAGTAAAATTCTCTCCAAATCTTTGAATTCGCCCAAATAAAATATATAAAAGAAGAATGTTTGTGTGTTTGTTAGCGATTAGTCACTACTATAGCTATCACCAAACATTCTACCATTCTTTTCTGGGTCGATGTCCACTTGAAAAAAAAAAAAAAAAAAAAAAAAAAAAAAAGCTAAAATCAGACATATTAGTTAAAAATACTGAATACGCTAATTTTCGCCCTCATTTTCCCTAGTGGCAACAGTCTCGTGCGCTGGTAATAATATTTTTCCCTATAAAGTGTTGCCATTGCTCGCTTTGAAATCATTAGAGTTTGTTAATCAAAAATTCATTATAATTTATAAAATATGAAATAAATAATAAAGCAAATTCCAAATGTGAGCTTCCGGATGCCCATATTCGAGTGGAAGATTACGCTATTTAAAATTTCATGTCTCTGGGTACCGCTTTTTTTTTCACAGTGCGACAAACATATTTACATTCATGCGGATTCTTGATTATTGAGTTTCTTTAAATATAATGCACGGCTCTAATATTTGGTGGCAATAGTTTGAAAAGTGAAACGCCGTTTATGGTGTACCAACGCAGAATGCCAAAACGAAATTTTAATAGCCCTTCTGGCTAATGCACTTTGAGATAATAAATGAATCAAATAAAATAAAAGAGGAGGGGAATTCAAATAGGAAGGAATATTTAATGGTAAGTATTTTAATATGTAAATAAAACTAATATAGCCGGTATATTAATCCAGGAAATTTTAAACCATATATAAAAATTGCCAGATGAAACTTGAATATTTTTCCAGAGAAAGATTTTTCTCTCTTTCAGTAACACAGTTTAAAAAGTTAAGCAGTTTACTCTTTCACTATACATTTGAGTACTGTGTAAGCAAAATATAATAATATAATATAAAATAATATAATATTGATACCTTAGCATCTTTTACAATGTGTATGCCTTGGCGACAGTATGTATAATCAATAATAAATTTGCACAACATTAAAATAGATTACTAGCCAAATAACCGTGAAAAGTTATTAGTACAGATTAACTTCTGAAAATTAAGACATCCAGCAATGGCACATTACATTGATTAGAGACGTTATGAAACACAACATTTAATGTGAAGTATTCTAGTTACACTACATTGAATACCTTGAGCGCAGCGCCATCTAGTGGATATTCGGAAAGTTAAAAGTTTATATAGTATTCCACAATTTGTATTTCAAAAGTGGATAAACGAGATTAAACAATAACTGTGGTTTGTAGAACATTAGATGTATTTAATACTTTTCAAAATTATTGTACATGCATATTTGATTTAACGTCAGACGCTTAGGATTACTATTTTAGAAGATATTAAAAAATTTAATGCCGTTATATTGGAAATAGTGTTATAATTTTGGTAACCTTTCTTATTTTGCATAGGATAATGATTTACCAAGTTTTTATCACATAAATTTTTCTAACCATAATTTGTTTCAAATTTAACATATTTTCATGTATGCTTCTGCTATCAATGCCAATCAATAAATAAGTTTGAGGAAAAGTATCTTTTACAATTATCTAAAAAATTCAGAGTATTCAACATTTATTTTCCTTCTTACCGAGGAAGGGGAGATTAATATAAAAAGTTTTTAAAAGTTTTTTTGAAGGTTATATAAAACACGGAGAGAAATGTTATACATTTAGCACAATACATTTAAAATATTTTTCAATTTTTGAGAAAACAGATAATTGATTGCATAACTTTTAATTACGAGACATGAACTTTTTTTAAACTTTTCTAGATAAAATAATACTGGATACTAGTTAGTACACTAATTAGACACTGGACGGCAAAGTGACGTTTTTGTACAGAAATATTACATTATAATGATACACATTTCTTGTAATTTAAATGAAAACGTAATAAAGTAATTCTAATTTATATAGCAATGGCTTATTAATGTTTTCAATTAGGTTTTAAATTTTTAAAACATTTTAAAATGAAAGAGTAGAATCTAGTCCAGCCTTCTTTTAGGAAAAAAAATGCAGAAAGAGTAAGGAAACTAATATGTAAGAAATTTAGGAATGTAAGAGAAGAATTATCATTTCAAAAGCAATTGATTCAGCGATCAGATCCTAGAATTTTCGTAATATACTGTTGCGTTCTACGAGTTCCTTGATTTAGAGTAATTGATGATAAGATTTGATAAAGAATCAAAACGCAGTTTATAGGCCAGTATTGCACAGAACTGTTGCAAAGACATTTTTACAGTCGTCGAAAAACTACGACAAACTCGATGAAACAATCAGCAACGTAGCCTACGGGCTATAACGGTGAAGACAGCTACACAGCAAAGCACTAAACTACAGCTCTCATCTTGGTCAATCATTTTCAGGCTAATCTCTGAATTCAAGGCACTACTAAAGATACACTACTGCTCCGCGTACAGGCGGGGTATATATACTTTTAACCTACATTCGAGAATACTCCCGAGAAAACGCCAGAAATGTCTTCTGGAATGTTCTCTCTCCGTCTACGGTATATCGCCAATCGTATCTCAAAATATCACCAAATGGGCGAATTTGCACTAAATGTGGCAACCCGGCCTTTACCTGCCGCTTTCTGACAACCCTAAACGCACTTTTGGGGGAAAGGTGTCACACCGCAGCTGTGCATTTCGGAACAGTTTTATAAGAATGATATTGAGTTTTCCTGCCATTCCGCAGTGAAAGAAAGCTTATCTGCAGAAAAAGAAGTTCTGAGTTCAATTGCTTTTTGAAGATAAGCCTTACATCTTATGTAATTAAAGTACATATTACATCGGTGTGTGTAAAGATACTTGATCCACAAACAGCATATTAAGAACAAATAATTATCGACTTCGACAGCTTTAGTGCAAGGTTTTTGATTATAGTTAGGGATACCTTAACTGAAAATGCTCTTGAACTCTTCATGACCTAATTCGCGGCTGCATCGAATCTAAGATCTCTAACTGGTTCAAACAAGCGGTATTTTATAAACAATAAATTTTCCTTTACGTGAAAGAATTTAATTGTTTCTTATTAAAGCATTTACGTTT